TGCCGTCTCAGAACCCCAGTATTCATCACCAGGCGTCGGCATCTGCTGCTCCACCTCCTCCTCCACCACCACCTGCTCCAGGACCTCACCTTGTACAGCAGCAAAGTACTCATCAGCAGCACTCTGTAGCACATGTTGTCGGTCCGGTTCATGCTGTGGCAGTAGCTCCTGGATCGCACATTCATTCTCAAGCTGCTGGTCACCATTTGCCACCGCCGCCTCCACCACCAGGTCCTCTCCCCCACCACCAGCCTCCTCATCCTTCTACTGGACACCAAGGTTTGCAAGCACAACACCAGCATGTTGTAAACTCTGCACCTCCCCCTCCTCCCCCCCCACCCTCCAACGTTATAGGCTCGGGGCATCACCCAGCGTCAGCACAAGGGTTACACCACCCATCTCATCAAGGACCCCCACACTTCCCTTCCAACGCTCACACAGGCGTGTCCTCCTATTCCTCGCAAGCCCCACATCACACCACGCTAGGACCTGGACCTCAACATCAGCCTGCTGGAACAGGACCTCATTGCCCGCTCCCTGGTCAGGGTCCGCACATCCAACCTCAAGGACCAAACAGTATTGCAACACCTGCTGCTTCGGGGTTCTGCCCTCACCCGGGCGCCGTGGCCCTTCCCCACGGCGTGCAGGGGCCGCAGCAGGCGTCCCCGGTGCCCGGGCAGATCCCCATTCACAGAGCACAGGTGCCGCCCACTTTTCAGAACAATTACCATGGTTCAGGGTGGCATTAGAGCGGATCCCTTCGATTCTAAACATTTTTAAAATGTTCTGTAAGATAAACTGTGTATATTTCATATGTACCTATTCCAGGTACTTTTTAAAGCTTGTACATGATACTTTGTATAAAAGCAGACACCAGTGCTCTTTCATTGTATTCTTTCCATTTTTTGCTTTTTAAAATTCCTAAAGATGTGCTGTTAAGCCAGTATTAGGTATTTCTTTTTATTTTGTAAGTGAACATTCCAGCTGTTTTTTCTGGCAGTAGGTTTGATGCTGCATAATCTTTAAAATTTTATTGTTGCAGTTAAATTCATTTAGTGAATGTTTTCTATATTACTTTTATACATATGTAATTAAATAAGTACACAGGCTAAGTGATGGCACTAACAATTTTTTTTTCCCCCCATTTTCTTCTGTCACCAGTTCTTTGTGTGCATAGAGATAGAAAACAATGCAATACAAATTTTTATAGTTTTGGTGTGGACATGGCTTTTTGTTTCATCAGTTATTTGCAGAAAATGTAATTTAATGTATAGACTGTTTCTAATGTCTCTGACAAGTGCTGTAAATACTGTATTTCTTTTGCTTGTACAATTGCTTAAAGCTTCTTTCATTTGATATAGTATTGTATATAATAAGTCTCTTTTGCAAAAAAACAAGAGTGTGATCTTTGTGGAAGTAGTACAGTATATGATCTTTAATTTTTTTTTTTAATATACTGTCACATTGCAGCACTGGTTGGGCATTTTAATTCATGTTAATAAATCACAACTATGTCAGTTTTAACTGCTTGTCCTGCAAGGGTGGTGTGTGTCTGCCAGGAAGTGGCCTCAGGTGTGTAGCACTGATGCGGCTGTTCCCTTCCCCCAGTCTCTGGCTGGGGACAGACCTGGGAGGGGCTGTAGGAGGGGGGTTCACTTCCCTGCTGAGCTGGGAGGTGAAAAGACTTGCTCTGAGCACAGCAGAGGCCCGGCAGGTTCCTGATGGGGGTGGTGTGTTCCACAGAGCACCTGCCTGCCTGTGCAGTTGTGCACTGAAGCTGCCTCTGCCTGGTGAGTGCCCTTTGTGCACTGCAGTGTGTCCCTGTTCTTACTCCCCTGCTCTGTGCGCCCTGTGGGGACAGACCTGGTCCCACTGCCAGGAACTTTAGAAATGAGCTGAACTGCATCTGTAAGGCGGCCTTCCTCATCACTGCCTTCCTCATGGCTGTCTTCCTCATCACTGTCTTTCTCATGGGAGCCTGCCTTCCTCATGGCTGCCAGCCTTCCTCATCATTGTCTTCCTCACTACTGCCTTCCTCATGGCTGCCCACCTCACCTGCAGGTTCCCTCATCAGAGGAGACCCAAGTGAGTGGTGCTACAGTGGCTGTGGCATGTTACTGTCTGTAGAGCGGTATTTTATTTCTTGATTTATTTAAGGCAGTGGTTTATTCTGCTGCTGAAGAGCAGCAGCCAAGGTGGTGCTGTTGCACTTACCAGGTGCAGAGTTATTCCGTAACTGGTGTGTGACAGTGTCCTTGCAGCTGGGAGCCTGCTGCTCTGAGTTCTGCTCACTCAACAGGACTCTGCTGGAAGGCTCCTGCCTCAGAACCAGAGAAGGAAACCTGAAATGGGACAGGATGCGAAGCAGCTGTTCCTACTCGCTGAAAAAAGGTGGTAATTCTTTATAATGCAGGGAAAAAATTGAGACTACTTTAAAATTGTAATTTGCCTGTAATTATTGAAATACCTTCCTGCCCAACTGCTGGCTCTGCAAACCACGCACTGTGCAGAATAACCTGTTCTGCAGCAGTGGAATGGGATTAGTCCATCACCAGCGGCAGAAACCCCAGCCCACCCCGTTCTACTGCTCGCAGATTGTGGAAAAAAAATCTGCACTGCCCTCTCCAGCCCAGTGCGCAGGTCTGGTGCTCCTGACCCTCTTCCAAGTTATCATAGAATCACAGAATGGTTTGGGTTGGAAGGGACCTTGAAGCTCATCCAGTTCCAACCCCCCTGCCATCAGCAGGGACACCTTCCACTAGATCAGGTTGCTCAAAGCCTCATCCAGCCTGGCCTTGAACACTTCCAGGGAGGAGCATCCACAGCTTCCTTGGGCAACCTGATTGTTGATTGTTACCTCAGCTCAAATACAAGAGAGCATCAAACGCACATGGTAGGTGGTGAGTTCCTGAAACAGCACAAGGAGCAGACACAGTGGGTGGCACAACAGGACGGGTACTGGGACGGGTCCCCGAGCTGTGCTGCACCATGGCCCCGTGAAGGGCAGAGACGCGCTGACACGTACTCACCTTGCTTGGCTGGCGCTTGAGCTGGCACCTCATTCACTTACGTCTCCTAAGTACTCAAGAACAGGCTTCTAAGGCGATGCAGTGATGAGGCCACTGGCTAGTCCAGGGGCGAAGCGGAACACAATTTTTACCTCTAGCTCTGGAGTCTGTTCTGGCAGCGTCCTTCTCGCCAGTGTTGTCCTTGCGGCCATTACACGTGGTTGCAGCGTCAAGTGCCTGGGGGGCAGCGGGTGAAGGCACCCAGCCCCGCTGATGCCAGGGCCTCAGCGTGTGGATGAGCTTCTGCCCTGTGCCCGTGTCACACTCTGGTGGCTTTGCAGTTTCTTTTTGGAGCAGCAGCTGCAGTGGCCTATTGGGGATGGGGTGATGGGTTGCTTGTTTATAGGAGTTTAACACCTTGTATGACAGACTCTCTCAGTTTTGTCGTGTTTCACCAGCCAGCGCTGACACACAGCCCCTCCTGCACCGCTACCCTTCGCGATGCTGATCTCCACCAGCTGACACATTTCATACGTGAACACAGAAAGCAGATTTTCACTGTGGCCAGGCTACAACACCCCCCACCCTCCCACGAGATGGATCTCCAGCAAACAAATGGTTGGAGTCACAGCTAGCAAAGAGTCCAATGACCAGCACACTGTCTGAAAAAACAAAACACTTTTAATTAGACAACTGCAAGCACCTCAAACAACTGGTTATCGTTACAGCATGGGGCTATCTTCTCACAATCTAGTTATTGCGAAGGCATGTGAATAAATTTCATATGGACATAGTCAAGAAAAAGTGGCACCGTAGTTACATGAAGATCAGAAGTAAGCTTACATTCATCCCACTGACTTCTAGAAGAGGCCAAACACACCTCCGTACTGTACATTCTAAAACCTGTATTGCCTATAAGCTTCAGCCTATGCAGCTTTTTTTTTTTTTTCCTAGGAAACACGTAATTGTTGCGTGCAACTTACAATGGGTAATTGTATGTCTGGTTATGGGAAAGAATAAAGCTAGTGCAATTTGTTTTAGAAACATGTAAAGCTATGAATGGAATGAGCATGATCTTGCTTCTTGGATTATTTTACCCACTGCACTGTAAATATTTGCAGCTATATCCTTCCTTAACTGATTCCAAGCACACACTTTTATTATAAAAGATCAGTAATTCTACACAGAGCGTGGTTCTCATGCTCAACTTTTAATTTTTTTTTTTTTTAAGGTATAGTACAACTTACAGTGCTTATAAAAAGGCAACACCATATGGTACCATGTCTTCACTATCACATTGTAAGGGAAATTGCTATTTTTCTTTTCTTAAAAGCACTTAAAATAGGCAAAAGTTCTAAAAGGGAGTGCTAAATGATAATGCATACTTTATTAGAAAGAAGTCTAGCCTTCCTTTAAAGTGCCATTTGGGGAATGAAATCCTGTAAACCAGAGCCACTTTGTTTAAAATCCAATGAACGGGAACTGCTACAGAATAGAAAGTTCACACAATTCCTTAAAGCAGTGTAAAGTCCACTACATGCAATTCGTTTGCTATAAAGCTCTCTAAAACTTAAGTCGCTTTACTCTGAAATTGAGTCCCCAGTCCCATCTTTAAATGGAAATAAACATTTACAGGGTGCATTTACATACACTATAATACAAGAACAACGTCCCTTTGCCAGAAGATAAAATTGTACATTTCCTCGCTGTAACTCAGTTCTGACTTGATAAATTTCTTACGCTCGTAAATTATATAATATGCATCAGCTAAAATATTTTTTTTTTCCATAAATAGTTACAAAACTTGCCAAAACACATGGGGGGGAAGTTTCCTTTGTTCAAAAATCTGACATCTGAATGCCACACAACACAAGAAACAATGCTTAAAGACACGTTAAGTGTTTTCTGAAGAAAGTGGGTGAGTAAACTACTAGCTGAAGACAAAAAGACTACCCTTCCCCAAGAACACAGTGCACAAAAAGCAAAATGTCAAACAGTACCTCAAGCAAAACAAAGGTCTGAGGATTGAAGCCAGCTCACATGTGATCCTGCTAAAGAATTTGTGACAGTCACCATTTAGGTCCGATGCACTGGAAAGTGGGTGCTGGCTTTTTTTTATTTGTTACAGCCGCGAGACTCTGCTAAGAATTCAGCCACGGATGCCGCAGGCATTCTCCAGCTGAAGCACGTTTTTCTGGGACCATTTCTAGCATGGGGATGAGGAAATCTGTAAACTGTGCAGCATCTTCGTGAGGCCAACCATACTTCTCCACAAGCACGTCAAAAAGACTCCAAGGTTTCAGCTTGGTAATGTGTCGGAGTTCTCCTGCAAACAGAAATATTATTGGCATTAGAAAGAGACCTCGTTATCTCTGTTAGCGACTAGTCCCCGTTTCGTTTTTCTTCCACTCTCCATTCACAACACCTTGACCAGGCTGAGAATCATTTTTTAGGAAGGGCAGCACGTTGCAAGCTTGCTTGAGGTCCTCAAAGGAGACGAGTCTGTTCGATGGCAAAACCAAGGAATCATTCCTACAGCAAACTGCACGTTACACCTGGACCCCGCTGTACGCAGCATTTCTGATGTCTCCTGCTGTCTTCATTCTGTGTCCCGCACACCCAGGCACTCGCTCACACACGCCGTGGGCAGAGAACACCTCGTGCCTTTCCTTCTTAGTCACCCAGTGAACCCAAATCTTACAAAAACCGCCCCAATCCCAAGACGGAGGTCCCGGCAACGCAGGTCACTGCTGCGTGGCACGTGCGACAGGGCAGCAGCGCAGCCATTCACTGCAGAACAAGCCAAGCGCAGCCCTTGGGCACTCGGCCGTTCTGCTCCACAAACACAGCCAAGAGGCTTAGTCCTCTGCTGCCTCCATCTCCGTCAACCCACCACCAATACAAGGGTGGCAGTAGCTGCAGGATTTGAGTTCCACCAAAGAGGGGGCATACAGCCAACCTGGCAATGTGTTTCAGACCAAAACAAAGGGGGTGAGAACCCTTCTGCCATTCCCACCAGCAGTATTGTCCAGGTCTAGCCACAGGTCATTTGGCACAACAGGAAAGAAAGACTCTTCTGGCTGCTCCCTGTCCCTCCACTGCCATCTCCCTTCTTCCAGGCATCTGTCTGAGCCTGTCAGTCTCCATGTCATGCTCCAAAAAGCACTTCAGAGACCCCTGTGGTGATTCTGCAATGTCCTCTGAACTGGTGAGGAGGGTGATGGGTTCTCACTCAATACTGGAATTTGAACAAGACTCGCAGCTTGACAAGAACATTACATGATCCAGGATGTGGGCACACAGGTCAAGCTATTTTAAGTGAAGTGGTTTGGCAACTTGCTGCTTGTCCCTGTCCCTGGCTGTGATCTACTGCCCATAAAATGCCGTAAGACATCAGCTCACAGGTCTGAGTTTCTGTACGTCCCTGTAGCTACGGAAGTTCCAGGGCAGGAGAAGAAACCCATGTCTCCAGACTGTCCCTGAGAGTCTGAGCATCCAAATGCAACAGATTAAAACGGCCACAGGCCCAGCAGGACACACTTCTGCTCCCCCAGCCCACAGCAGAAGGTTCTTGGCAGCAGCTCTCAGGCTGCTATCATAAAGACCCCAAAAGAGCGAGTGCACAAATGGTCCATGACTTGCAAGAGAAGAGACCTGCTGAAACAGAGAGTCCAGATGTGCCTCCCACAGCTGGCCCTCAGTCCTCTTTCCTTTCCATCTCACTGGGCAGGTGGGGTGCCGAGATAGAGAGGAATGAAGGCAGGGGGCACGCCCTGCCGGTTAGTGTCTGCACATTTACAGTACAAGGGTGTCCCCTCGGTACCCGTGAGTCAAACAAGGCTCTGCCTTGGGCCCATCCTGACCCCTGCTCTGCCTGTGCAGAAAGGACAGCACATCTCAGAGAAGTGCCTCCATTTCCAGGCTCACTCTCAGCCCTTTAAAACCTCTGTGCAATTCTGAAATGTAAGTGTTGAAAATCTTACCCTTTCAAAGGTTTCCAGAAGTGTGTATTAGTGACTACTCACAGAACAGGTAGTAACTTTCTAACAAGAATGCACAAACTCAAATACTGCCAAAGAATGACAGAAAATAGTGACTTGTTATTGACCACAAGCAAAAAATGGTTAAACCAAAACCAAACCCAAAAACCAGGTTGTCCCCGCAGCTTCCCCAGCTTACAGCATTCATTGTGAAGCTGCCTTAACCACAGAACGGTCTGTCCCTGAGCAGGGACACCCGCCACTACAGCAGGCTGCCATCTACCAAATGAGACGAACTGTGAGGGTGTGTTTCCATGCAGCACTGTCTACACCTCTGTACTCAAATTACGCAGTTTTAGGCACCTTTCCTCCCTCAGACTGTATGAAGTAGGATCACAAGATGAGGCTCCTGGTGTCACCATGGAAAGTGAGTTCATACAGCTTGAATACTTATTTTGTAAAGTGGAGGCTGAACTCGAAATACCCAAGTTCAGACCAGCACACGCTGGGCAGCACAACGTTCTGTAGTGTTTTTCTGCTGAGGAACAAACTCTCCATCCATCTTAGCACTACGGGTTGAAGTTTTCCACAGAAACTCTATGAAGACTGTAAAAAGCATTTAAGAAGATGGGATACAGTAAAAGTGTGGGGGCCAAGAATTAAACTAGCACTTCAGTTTTCAATAAAGATCATGATGCTGACCATGGAATCAAAAGGCAATTCACACAACTGAGGTGGACCAAAAACTCAACGAACTCATTTTAATGTGGTAGATCCACCTTATTTCCATCCTAAAGTGCTGGAGAGCAGCACAAGGAATGGAGGTGGCTGGCAACGGGTATTTGCATCTAGTTCATGAGGTTTGCACCATGTCATTGCAGGACAGCAAGGCAGTACCTGTATTTAAGGGAGAAATGAAAAGCACAGGCCCACCGGTCTGATACCATCAGTATTCAGGGCATTAAGGTGAGTTTCCAAAGAAATGCTAAAAATGTAACAGTAAGTGAAAACTTGCTAAGAGCAGCATTCTATTCAGATTTTTGATAGTGAAGCACACAGGAAATACCCAGAAAAGACAACAGAGTTGTCAGAACTGTAAAACCCCTACAGCCAAAGTGGAGGCAGCAATGGACCTTCTGAAAAATGAAATGTTAACTCAGAAGGAAATTACTGAAGAAATTACTGAAGGACCTGTGAGGGGGAAGATGCCATTTAAAGCTTTCTCTGCTGACCATAATACAAAAATCCAGAGCTAGTGTAGGAGATCTGTCAAAGACAAATCTAGGATGTGTCACCAGGCAAGAGGAGGATGGATTATTGAACAGTAAGAAACGGATGGCGTGAAGGGCTGGGGAAGCAGCAGTGGGACACAATCTGCTGCTACGTATTTTGAGGACATGCTCCTGAGAACTAACTGGTGAGGCCCCATGGTACAGTAGATGGAAGCGAGGGAGGTGGAGGAAAGCCCTCTCCTTCCCTTCCAGGATGTTCAAGAAGCAGCAGTGCTTTTCCTTGTACAACCTCCAACAGGCAAAGGCAGTTCCTAGCCAGCATCTCGCACAGGTTTACCTCACAAGGGCAACAGGACCAGCAAACACCAGAAATAAAAGGGAAGGTGGTCTAGGAAAAACAAAAGGGCAAAAGGGGTTTAAGTTTTAGTGCCAAAACTGTTAATAAGTTTTTACAGACAAAATTGCTTCCATGGAGGCAGTGGAGAAAGGGACTCACTGGAGTTATTACTGGGATCAATCAAGATGAGACCCTATAAAAAGGAAGTGAACATTTGTGTTGTGACTAAGTGACTCAGAAGTAACTTATAAATGCTTTTCCTTTTTTAAATGCACCCTCCTATTTGAATGTCACAGACTGCTTCAGGCAACTGAGAAGAAGGGACTCAATCCTGTCAACTCCTGTAGTTGGCAACACCTTTCCTTTTGTGCCTGGGACATTCAGTGCAACAATTCAAATGTTTAAAACTTCTCTCTGAGGTCGAACTTGCCCATGGACAGCAGTAACACCCGCATCGTGATTTCTGGATGTTCACCCAAGGCTGATGGTTTCAAAACAGGAGCCTACAGCTGAGATTCCTAAGCCCACCTTTATGCCACAGTGTGAAATTTTCAGGAGCCTCAGGCCTGCACCACGTGGCCTCTGATCTCGTGGCAGACGGTGCCTCTGAGTAATGTCACTGAAGTTCAAGCTCTAGAGGACAAGAGCAACACTTTGCAGTGGAAGATGCTCATGGAAGCTCGTGAAACGAACTGCCCCCTTCTGTGTGCCACAAACACTGTGGTTACTGCGTAACCCTTAGGTCACTTTAAGGTTCCATGACAGCATCAGAAAATGCCAACCCATCTGGTGCAACATGAAAATGAGGCAGACGAGATAGATATGCTTTAAGGGGGTCACCTGGGGGGTCCTTCTAATTCAATACCTGTCTCTGACTGTGGCCACAGGAAGGGGGGGGCAGGGAGGACCAGGAGCCTTCCCGCAGCCCTGCCCCTCACTCACCCCAGCAGTGCAATCCCTGCCATTTTTGCTATATACATTCCCAGACCTGCCAGCCCTCAGTCTGTCCATCTCAGTGAACCCCAGACTGTTTTCCAGCCTCTCTCCACAACCCCCACGGCGCAGGCTCCTGAGCTCACTGCCGCCCACGCAGGGAAGCGCTTGTTTTAGAGCCGCCCCCTGCAAGTTTCTCTGGGTGTCCCCCAGCTCTCTTAGGGTGGGTGCTGATGAACAACAGCTCCATTTTCAGCTTATCCACTGCCTTCCCATTTTGTAAACCTTTATTATTCCTCCAGCATCCTTCTCCCCACCACACTAAAAAGCCCCAGGCACTTTAGACTTCCCCATAAGGTAGTTACTCCATCTCTCTGATCATCACTGTCGCCCTTCTTCACACTGTGTTTAACGCATCCTCCTTAAAGCAACGATGGCACACAGAGGTCTCTGCTCTACCAGAAATACCCACGCACACAACAGGCAGCTCTCATGCAAGGAAAGGAAGAATCACTGGATTGTCTCCTGCCTCATGACCCCAGCCTCCTGCAGCACAGTGTCACTGCCTCGGCCCCCCACACCCCACATGCCTGTTG